TTGTTCTTATCCAGCTACACTAGTGAGTGCTTTCTCCAGGAGCTAAGGCTCCCCTTACTCCAGCTACCTTGTCCCCTTACTCCAGTTCCTTGTCACTGTTCTTCCCTCTGCAGCCAGCAGGCAGCCTGAAAGCTGGAGTAAAGCAAATCCTGCCCCTTTGCCCGGCTACGCACAGGCCGATTGTCTCAGCACGGTCCCAGCTGGGGCAGTCTGCTGTGCCCCACACTCAAATCAAAAGTTTCTCTTCCAGCACAAGTTTATCAGACGTGGGTTTTACAAACACGCTGCTTAACGTATTTCAGGGAAGAAAAAGAGGCACGCTAGCTGTGGCTGTAGTTTTTAGTGCCGTGGAGGTGTTTGCTCTGGCTAGTAATGCAGAGAGACTATGCGGCTGGAGGCTCCTGCAGGCAGGACTGCGGGGCCAGGCATCGGCGGTGAGACACTGCCACCTCCTGACACCGGCTGCGCTGGGCTCCGGCTGCCGAGGCCTGGTGGCAGGGCTGATTTATATCAATGTCTGCTGGGGATGATGCTGGGGATGCAGCTGGGGGGAAAGTGCCTGAGGGCCAATGGCTGATTTGCGTAAATGTTTTCATTGCACAGGGTTTTGGAAACCTCGTCGTGGGCAACCAAGCGGCGAATGGTGAGAAAGCATGCTCTGGGCTGCCTTGTTTTCACTGGCTGTTGTGAAAGTTAGCACTGTGAGCTAAAAGCATTTTGGTGAGATAAGCTCACATGCACTAGGAAGCTCAGGCTGAAAAATGTTTGTAACTGCCTTTTGAGCAGGCTGTCATGGGCTGTACAGGGCTGCTGACTCACATAAGGGACCCTGCAGGCACCACTGTAATGCCAGGGTGGAGGGAAATCAGCACATTGCCTCTCTTTCCTCCAGCCCGCACCCCTGTCCCCACACCCCTGTGCCCCGTCTTGAAGGAGGCAGGCACTTAAAGGAGGCAATAGCACCATTTTATCCTCCAAAATGACTGTCTGTAATACGCATCAGAAATCATCAGAAATTCATGCATCTTTATGTTTAGCTGCAACGAATGCCCCTATATGCCAAGCAAATCAAAGTTTGTAAATACAGCTCCAATCGATAAAAGTACTCGCACTTTCTGAAGTGAAGCTGGGAGAGAGACATAACGGGGGCAAGTCTGCTTTAACTGAGCGCTGTGTCTGCGCCTGCTGCTGCTTGGATGTGTTTGACCGTCTGTGGGCTCCTAGTGAAAGTGCAGCTTGACTGAATCCGGAGGCCAGTAATACCCGTACAAAGCACCAGGGGTCATTCCACTCTTTATCTCTACCTTAAACCAGCTTCTCAGTGCAATAGTAAAAACAACACCTCTCCCCTTTTCCTCGCCAGTCTGACTGCCTACTGTGAAAACTGAAGTGCAAATAAGGCTGTGTTTAGACAGGACAGTGGTGGGAATTTTGTCTGAGTAAAGACAGGAGGATCTGTCCCAGTGAAAAGGCTTTCCAGTGGTTTACAGTATTTGCCTATAATTGTACACATTCCATGAGCAAACTGTGTCCACTCATTTATTATCCACGCTAAACAGTGCAGGAAGTCTGGTGCTGACACACGGACAAGTGTCACTCACCCTGCTGCAGACCAGAGACATGGGCAACGGCATGTGATTTCCCCCCTCCTCAGAGATTAACTATGTTAAGGCAACGTTGGAGGTGACCAATTTGGGGAGAGAGGGAGACAGGAGGGAATATGGGAGGAAAATTAAGCTGAACAACACATTCACATAAAATTGGAATAAAATTGCCCTGAAAAATTAGAATTACCCTATTTGATTTCTCCCAAAATGGGTATAGTGACGGATTTTTGTTTTTTATAATAATTCTTAATTAACATTTAAGTAATTCCCTAGCTGATGACAGTTTGATCTAAAAGGTGTGGAAATCAATGGGAGCTTTCCCCGGGCTTTGGATCAAGCCTTATATGTCAGCTGGATTTATTTGTCACAGGAACCGTATCCGAGGAATAGATTGCTTGAGATTAGATTACCTAGGGTTTTGCTTCTGGTTAAAGCAGGCTGTAGATCTAATGGACATGTCCATCCTGTCCTGTCAGCTGCTGTGAGTGCCCTCCATGCTAACTACAAGACATTTGAGGCCCGAAATCCCCAAGGAACAGAGGTGCCACTTTATGGAAAGATAAAGGCTGTGGACACACAAACATTTGTCTCATGCATGAGAAATGAATGAGTTGCTTGGGACGTGAGTGAAGTGCTTGGGACAAGGAGCCAAGCAGGACCTTTGTCCCAAAGCCAGAAAGTCCAACTGCATCCACTGGAAAGCTAACCCCTTCCTTGCTGACCTTCCACTATACTCCATGAAGGGCATGGAGGAGGGAGACAGACCTCATGGAGGAGGGAGACAGACCTCATGGGGACCTACCCTCATGGGGTAGGTCACTCTTCTGGCATGTCTTTTTTTCAAGGAGAGTGACTAGAAAGAGAGAGAGAGATCCTCCAATCCCAATATATATAGATACATGAGTTTTGATGTTCTCACAACTTTAAACTTTATTTGCTGTAGCAGGTTCTGGCACCTTAGTCTATGTCTGTCCAGCACTTATACAGATAATGTAGCCTGAAATCTTTAACGGATACCGAAGATTACACCATGTTGGCACTCACTCTCTGGCTTGTCTGAAAGTTTTTCATCATCTTGGCCAAGAGTTTCCATTTTCTTTAGCCCCCAGAAACATCAGGCAACCCCTGTACAGTTTATTGCAGTTTATAGTTTCTCCACATGGATGTCACTTCCAAACTATTCATTAGAAAAATTAGTCATTTACAATAAATGTTACATTTTTACAAGAAAACGCAGTGATTATTTATTAAACATCTGGATTTTTTCAGCATCACTTCATAATGGAGATGAGCCTGAACTGGAACACCTGATCTAAACCTTCTTCTGACTTTTGGAGAATTTCAGATCCAAGTTCTTTGGGGTTGGGGCTGTCTTCATTATGAGTCTTCTACGGCACTGAGCACATTGTTGGCACTTAACAAATAAACAATAGTAATCCAGACCTGGACCAGGAATTAACAGCTAGGGTGTATCTGTACTTCATAAAAAAACCATATATGTCTTCCACGTTACCCATGCTACATCCTGGTCTCAAACGCAACCACTTTCTTTCTTCTGTAACCGTAAAAGATCAGGTTTAGAAAACACTGCCTCCAGCCCCATAACTCAGGCAGTTACTAGAGAGGAAGTTACTTGAAAAACATCACCCTGCATGGTAGCTTCACCATAATCCAGAGGAGTAAATTCAGGTGATGTAGGCAGTGAGAAGTGGCTTTTCCGCAAGTACTATGGGGTAGCACTAACTCAAACTACAGCAGCACCTGCTGCAAAGCCCATCTGGGCTCGGGTGCCAAACCCCCAGCCACGTGCAGGCTGGTAGGCAAGTCTACGAGGGAAGGAGACAGCTGCACCTGATAGCACGAGGGAAATGCGAACATATCAGAGCAGCGCTGAGTTGCGGGGTCTCATCACACCAGCCATTCCCAGCTCTTAGTGAGCACAGAGGAGGTGGTTGCTCATGTCGGGTGTACAGGGATGTAGCTTCACCACTAGCGTTCCCAGGATAAAGAGCACTTCCTATAACAAAAGGGAGCTTGGGGAGTAGATATCCCCCTTCCAAAGCCTTTCTACTAACAGCACAGCTGCTTTACAGGGATAGTGGGCCCAGGGTTTAGGCCATTGCTCTAAATTGTTCAGATTTCTAAACTTCAACAAGAGTGACTGAAAAACATCTGACAGGGTCCTCCCCGGGAGAGAGAAGAGCCCATACTGAACAGGGACAGGCTCAAATGCAGTAGTACAGTAGCATTTATTGCAAACTGTATTGCTCTGGTCCAAAAGCTTTAGTATATTTTCTTTAGCATCTGCTTTTGAATATTTGGCCTTCTATGTGCTTCACAGTGGAAACAAAGAAATAGTGAAGAATTCTGGCAATTTGCAGAGAACAGAAGGAGAGAACATAGATGGAAAAGTGCTCCAGCAGAGGTGGAGTAATGGCAACTGATATGCAAGGGGAAGTTGTATGAAACAATGCAATCTAACTTGTTCCAGCTGCCTGAGCAAGAGCAGGGACAATGCCAGATGTAATATAGCTCTGGTTAGCATGAGCTGAAATATGGGATAGACTCCAAAAACAAGGAGGGGGAGAAGAGAAGAAGCAGCTTGTTTGTGAACAAAAGACTAAACTATTTGGTTGCTAAAATACACGCAAATGAGGTATTCCCTCCCCTTGCCCCATGTGCAAATCACATCTAATCTTGGGAAAAGACAAAAGGAAAAAAAAATCCCATTTGTGGTTGTGCTGAATTCGTATGATAAACACTGCAGGCTGTGCTGAATGGGGAGGAGAGCTTGGGGAGTGTTATTTTGGTTGTGCAGCAATTGAGTCCAATGTTTTAACAAACTACTGCTGCTCTGTTTGAGAAACTGCATTTTTTAAATGTGAATCAACCGGGCAATTCACAATGGGAGAGCAGCTCCAAGAACCGCTTTGGTAGGTGTAGGGTATGGCTACTGTCAGTTCCTCCCACAGTTACCCTGGAGCATGGACTGGCTTGCCTTGGGACTGGTTTGCCTCAGCTACAAGTGGCCATGGACTACGGTAACTTTGAGCCCATCCTATGTGGCCAAGAAACAGAAGAACTAAGCTTATGCTCAACCCTTTTCAACTGATACTTAATCTAAATCTCTCTCAGGTCACTTAATATTATATTGAGTCATATTTGAGTTTCTCCTTCCCCACGGCCTTTTAAAAGATGATGGAAATACAGAAGAATAAGGTAGATTACATTGCCCAGATTAGGTCGCCCGCCTGCGGCTGTTACCCACGTGTGAGAGCATGGAGCAGAGAGCAAAATGGAGAATTCGCTCAGTATTGTCAGTGCTTCTCCAAAAGTGCTTTGCAAAATAGCCCTCCTGTAAAAAAAAGGATCATCTTGCCTTTCCAGTTTTACCTTGCTTGTGTTGTCCTCGTGAGAGGAAGATGCAGCTGTCCAGTTTGCTTGAAGCAGGAAATCAATCTGCATAACCTGGCATGAAGGAAAGAATGATATTTTGGCTCCACTAGATTTCACAGTGATTTGGTAATGATCACCACTCTTAATTTGTATTAAAGTGAAAAAGGAGCTGGGAAAGGGAAGCAGTATTATCCGCATTTTACCAAAAGAAATGTAGATATGGGGAACTCAATTAGTTTATTTACTCTGAGGTCTTGGTCCAGTTCAGTTCTTCCACCTACGCAGAAGTCACAGTTCTGATGAGGGCAGCAGGTTACCACTCCTCACAGTGCTCAGTTTGGGAAAAGAGAAAGGACCTGATCACCCAGCTTTTCAAAATGGTGAAAGAAAGGCTGAAAAGCAGAGTCAGTCCTTCAACATAACAACAGAATGGCTCTGACAGGAAAATCTCCAGTGCATTCACTGTTTCTGAACACTGCTGTGGTACTCCTTCCTGAAACCACGACCAATTATTACATACTTGTTAACATTTATAGATGTTGCCTCATAATGTGGCTATGACTGTTCCTTTCCCCGCAGCTACAGTCTCTTTGAGGGATAAAAGCTGCTGCTTTCTTAGAATCGAAATGACATCAGTCTTACAAGTACCAGATCCCCATTGAGTTCTTGTCACAGAAACACTTTACATTTATCACCTGGCATGTGCCGCCTTTGTGCCCTTTTTCCCAGGAACACCAGTTCTGTGAAAATATTAATAAATGACAAATTGCATTTGTGCAATCCTGTGAAATGTTTTGACTACTAAAGTTGTTCCATAGCAGTTCATTAAAGGACACATAAAATATTTAGGTTTACATTTTATAAAAAGATCAGGAATGCTCTGGCTGATAGCTTTCTTTCTATTGAGCATCTGTTTCCTATTTTTTTAACAGCTTACAGCAGTGGTTGGCCAGTTCTGTACTAATAGTTGATCTTAACTGGATCAAAACATTGTAATTTCTTAACAAAGGTTAGAGAGTGTCCTTCTAACACAGCTTCCTATGGCTGCAACCAGCAATGTCTGTGCATCAACATCTGGTTTCAAAATATTAAAAATGATAAACACTTCCAGATATGATCCATCTGGCTTCCCAAAATTCTACATCTGCATAATTTTGCCTTCCTTTTAAAAACCAAACACAGGCTTAGTTTGGCCCTATTACATTAGCGAAGAATCCTCCTCCTTTTAAATGTGGGGCAAAGCCCATGGTCAAAGTCTGTTGGAACAGGCCATCCGTATCTGCCCGACTGTTGTGTCTAACCTTGGCTTTCTTAGTAGCTGATAAACGGAAATTCTTTGCTTGGTTAGCAAATGGTATCTGATTGAATCAGAAGGGAGGTTACGATGAAGAAATCGTGATGAGCTGAATGAGCAGCGAAGTTTGCAAGACTGGCTGCAAAAGGGTTTTGAGAGCTAGCGGCTTGCTGTCCATCTGTATTTTGTCAGTCACCTCAGGACAGCCCTAAGTCTGCGGGACTCCTGCCCGGTGCAGAAGCAATCATCGTGCATGAGTCACGGCTTTGCTCCAGCCTCTGAGGTGTCGGTGAGGTGCGTGTTCCTCGGCTCTGCCACCCTGCAGGCAGGTCTGCACTGTTGCAAGGGTTGGGCAGTGGGATGGGGACCACCCTGCTCCCTTTTGGCTGGAGAAACTTCCTGTGGGATGCCTGCTGCTGCTGTGACTAAAGAACCCTGGACTACTTCCGCTGGCCTCTCTTCCCTTCCTTTTCATTTTCCATGCCAATTTAAGGAGCTGTGTACTGTAGAGTCTCTGAACGCTTCACCCAGATGGAAAGATGATTTGTAGTTCTATGAACAGAGAAATAACGAGTTGTTCTTACATAGCTAGCTGTATATGGAGTATGAAATTTCACTGATTTCATTAGCTTTTCATTAATGATGCTGCTGATGCTGCTTAGTATTCAACATTACGCATATAAAGAAATTGGTGAAATGAATAACAAGTTGCAGAAATTAATAGAGGAGTGTGAGGTAAGAATTCAAAGTTCAGTCAGAGTCAGAAGTTCTTCTTATCATTCTCCTGTCCCTCGGTGGTCTGATTTGTGACTGAATGGTATTTTCTCCTGAGCTTTTCAAAAACTGAGCAGGTTCCAGTAGGCTCTGAAGGCAGGACACAGAATGAGCCTTCCCCCCAGCTGGTGTGCTCCTGCTTAAAACTGAAGAGGCAATCAAGATGGAAATTAATGCTTCTTCCATCCTTCACAAGATTCTACTGTCTCCGATGAGAGCATCTTTTATGTTAAAAACAGGAGCAGATAGCATCTCTCAGACTCAGAGAATATCCCAAGGATGACACTGCAAGGATCATTCCTTGACTTGGCTGTTAATTCACAGATAGCTGGACTGCACAGCAAAATATTCCATCAACCAAAATAAGTCCAGGATCATGGTCACACCTTGGATGAGATAGCTGATATGGCAGCCATGAAAATGCGAACCACATGGGCAACAAAGTCAGTTATAGGTTTTGATCACTTTAAGGAAAAATTTCCTGTCAGTCCAATCAGCTAATTATTTAATTCCATACTCATGCACATTAATTGGATGCACTTCTAAATTCAATTTTGAACCAAGCACCGTACACATTAGGTGAGATATAGCAAACAGAGTCCTAACATCATACCTAATCCTTCATGACATGTGGCTGTTGCTCGTGTGTCGTGCCAGGTGCTGAGGAATGAAAGCACAGTCAGACCTCACAGTAACCCGAGTAAAACAAAGCACCACGTACGCGCTAAAGTAATGTATGCCACTGTTGCCATCTCTTACGTGTAGGCCAGAAGGTGCCCTATAGGCCTGGAAATGACAAATCAATATGAAAAGCCCATAGCAAACTACCAGCAGCTAACGTAAAACACTCCCCCCACTCACCTGCCGCAGCCATGAGGGATTTAAGGAGCAGAAGGCAGATCTTTCCTTTCTTCACTGAGATGTAAGGTAGCTCCCTTTCACTATTCACAACTTCCTCCCATTCTCTTCTCCTATTTTCACAGGAATTTGAGAGAAACTTGCCTTCATTCTGAGATATATGAAAGTTTAATCTTGATGATAATTCTCTTATTTCCAACCTAAGAAATCAAAATAGGCTTTGCTCGTCAGTGAAAGAACTTCTCGGGAAAGTGTAACTGTTCTCTTGGGTTTCTTAATAAGCTTGAACTGGCAAAGCCACACAAGACAGCCAACCCAGCTATATTCCTGTGCCACAGTGGAGCATAATTAAGTTGATCAAATAACCTCACATCATTCTCAGGGGGCCACAAGACATCATCATATGCATCATCCTTGGATTTCACCTCCTACAATAAACAATTTTTTAATGTTAGGCTTTAAAGTCTTTCCTTTGTTCCTGCTCTCCCTGCTTTCATCTCCCCAAAATTCTTTCTTCTTCCCTTTTCTCAAAAAGAACATTTTCTTTCACTACAAAACCAATAGTTTTACTGTGATAAGAGCAAATGGTTAGACAGAGATAGTTGTGACCTTTTTATTTCCCACTATTGGTGTTTCACATGAGGAAAAAGAGCTTTGAAGATATATAGGTTACTTTATTTGTAACTTTATTTAAAGGAAATCAGAACCAAACTATGCCCTTGGCTTTCTTAGGAAGAGGGATTAGAAAGACTCCTAAGCAGTGAGTGCTCCTAAGCACTGAGAGAAGGTCTAAAAGACCTTCTGACCTGCCTCATTTCCCAGTGCTCTGTGGCGCAGAGGGCTCTGCTATGCCAAGAATACTGGAAGGCCATTTCAGTATAAGAGAAATGTCTCATCCTGAGCAAAACCCCTGTGGATATGATGGGTTAGTGAGGATTGTGATGGCTGTCTCCAGGCCCATCAGGGAGGGATGCTTAACGTCCTTAAAAGGGAGATATGGATGGCTGAAACTGGGGAGGAGGCTGTGAGATGAGCCAGAGTGCAGGATTCAGAAGAAATAAAAATTTTAAGTAGTTACTTTGTTATTGGCACATGGCTGCACAGTCTGTCTTCTCAGGCGCAAAACAGAGATTTCACCCTGTGCTTCCCAAGAAATAATATTGCAGGGGTGAACCAATTTTTGCCCTTACTTTAAGACGCAGTCACCCATTGGAAAGAAAAGATTTGGAGGCAGCACTTCTACCTGTTACCTGCTATACTTCTACCTGTTTTAAAAGATAGGTAAAATTTTAAAAGGCAGATGAAATTGAATAATATAGTCTTTATCCATAAAGTCTACCTCACAGATCCCTTTCATTATTTGGCACAACTTCTACAAAACAGATCCTGACCCTGACCCTGTTCAGAACAGAAGCAAGTATAAAGCCGGTGCCATGCTGCACAGACATTTAGGCTCTGTGCTGGAATAGAGGATATATTGTCCAGAGTTAAGGACTTACTATCAATTATTTTTGCCAGTATACACTCAGATAAAACTGAATTCACTTCAGACTAAGTTTGTCCAGCTTTATCTTCACATTTTTTTCTCCTGGATAAATTTGCTACGATCCATGTTCACTGAGAAGGGGATGTAAAAGGAATATTAGATGTATTACCTGAGATTAGAGAATAATCAAAGAGACTGTATATTTGTATATTAATGCTGAAAGTAGGAGTCTAAGAATTATTCATTGAATCAAGGCACAGCCAAACTTTTGCATGATCTCTGTGAAAACAAATCTTATCAATGTAGCTTAAATACTTGCAATAAGCCCTGTATTAGGCATAAACAGTTGCAAAATTTTATGTAACAAGTAAGCTAAGAAAATAAAATAGCCTCAGCAAATAATTTGTTTTTCCTAGGTAGCTCACAAACAGGAAAAGAGCCAAAATAGATGATTTGCTGTTACTTGTTCTCTAGCTCTCAAAAAGTCTTTCTTTTTTTATTAAACAAATAGTTGAATTAGACTCTGGCTTTGTTTCTTTACGGGTTTATAGCGATAGCATGATTTCTGTAGCAAGGAAACAAATTAATTTTGCCAGAGCAATGCTCTAAGAACTTATCCATACTCTCTGACTTGGAGATAGCATTAGCATTTACTTTTCC